GTTTAAGCCTTTAGAAGTGTTTTAAAACCTTTCTTAATCTCTAAATATCAGTTGGTGATCCGTCCTTTGATTCTTACTTAGTGAGAGAAGTGGGATAGATCTCTCAAGCAAGGGGAAGGAGAAGCTTACCTTGGGTTGAGCCTTGAGCACTTCTAGTAGTCTAGATACTAAAGTAACTCACTTCTAACTCATCAATACCACTTGTAGTTCATTTAGATGAGTTTTGGTAGGCATAAGCTTAAAGCGTGTTCATGTTAATTTGCATCATTTGAGAGTTTTCAGTATGTTAAAGACTTATTTATGACCCTAATATCAAATAAACACTTAAACATTAGTTGGGGACCTCAATAGGGCAATTAGGGGTAGAAAGATTGATTGTGGTGCAAAAATAGGGCACTAGTAGCGAAAGTTCGATATAAGAAAATATCGATAATGTTCTTCAATCAAGCATAAATTGGGTAGTTTTATAAGGGTAGTATCGATACTCATTCATTGAGTATCGATATCAAGACAAGTGTATTGATACTCCCATTAGGAGTATCGATACTATGGTATTTTTTAAAACATCAAATCGAAATTTGGTATCGACACTCAGTCAAGTATCGATACCCCAACACCAGAGTATCAATACTCATCATTAAGTATCGATACTTCCTTAATTGAGTAGTCCACATCATTCAAGGGTATCAATACCAGCAGGTGGGTATCAATATCAAAGGCTCAGTACGGATACTGAAAGGTTAGTATCGGTACCCACAAACATTTTTTGGATAAATAATCCAAGGATTAAAAGATCAGACATGAGGTACACAAAATACACTCAAATACAACAAATAAGACTTCAAGCGAGAACAATAATAATAATATCATAACAATAGAAACAGTAAGCTAGGATTACATAAAACTAGCATTGATTGATGCTAGAGAAACAACTAAGACACCGGAGTTTCTCCTTAGCAGACGCCATTAAAAAAGATGACACACATTCTTGTGTCCAGATTGTATTTTGTATATATATATATTTATATTATAGATTGACAAATAATCAAACTAAATCACATTTAATGCCTCATAATACTAAATCTATGTATCATATTATATATAAGCAATCCATTTGCATACAATATATTCACATTAAGTTATCAAAAATATTATATTAATCATATGTCGATACAAAATATCACAGCATAATAAAGTTTTCCACATAAGATACCCATTGTTTGCGAATATCATCAATGTCATCATATGTGTATTCTTTCTTCCCATCGCCAACCTAAGTAAAAAATATGAAATAAGTATATAATTTATACTTATTTCATATTGAATTATATAATTAACTATCAAAGAGTACTAAAATGACCAATTTTACATATACATTCTTTGAAGCAAAATAACATTATGCAAAGTCATCAAATCAATAGCATTATAAAAAGTATCAACTTTGTTCACAACAATATCACCACGAATAATAACATTATGCACTGTATGATCTAAATATCAACGATGTCTATGCCTTCAATAAAAAAATATATGGCATGAACAACTGAATCAACCTTATCAAACCCCAATAGAGATCCAATTTTTTAACCTTTTGGCACCATGAATCCTCGTGCCAAAATGAATTCTCTTTTTCTTCCTAAATTCATCAGGCTCACAAAGATTCAATATGTCTTATTCATCATAAAATCCCATTTTTCTTCATTTAGCATCCAACAAGAAAGTGAAAGTAACAATTGCATTATCTAGAACTATTGAATCTACAAGACAAAAAACTCGACAATCATTTTTTGACCTTTTATCACCATAAGAGAGTTCTTATTGATCCTCATTATTCCACCTTCAACAGTTGACTTGTACCCTTTTACATCTAGAGTACTTGAAAAAATCAAATTTCTCTTTTAAGTCTAGTACGTGTCTCACATTATCCATGAGAGACATTATTCCCCAATATAATTGTTCCTTTAGACATTGATTCATATATCGAAAACTAGTCTCGATTGTGACATGCTTAACACGTGTAATTAGAATCAAGAATTCACTCATTACTTACAACAGGATCTATCAATAAAAGCAACTAACAATAAGTTTACCATCAATGTAATCTTCCACTACGTTAAATTCATAAGGTGATAACTAGAAGTCTAGAATAACATCCAACTATAAGTTTTTCAGCAGAAATAAAAAGAGCTTGACAATTCTTATTAATATGAATAGACAAGATGTTATCATAGCTGAATTTCCAATAATAGCATCCTACTTCAAGTCCATATGATAGTTGTATGACTAATGTGTATGTATGATATGAAAGATGTGTATCAGAAAAGTTTGCTTACATTCTTATTGACCAGCACTTCAAGTCCGTTCTCGACTATCTCTTTCATGAACTTACAAACATAATATCCACACTCGATACCTCCCGAATGACGGGGACACTACAAACAGTTTACAATAAACGATTAGTCAAAATGAAAGCTGCAATTTAAATAAGGAATGATCGATCGAAGTCCTCACTAAAACATTGATCCAATTGAGGCTAACCCTTTTGTTAGATCCACTTTGAGCAGTGTACAATTTCATTGCCCTATAAAAATTGATGAAATATATCAAAGAATATACTATTATGTTTCGATAACTGTGGGCGATACCGGAATACATAGGCTCCTGGTACTCCTGCTACAAAATAGATGATAGACAATAACCAAATCTTAACACCTAAACAATAATAAGGAAAACACAACATAATCACAATGTTATATTAAGAAAAAAAACAAGACATGGAAGCATATCACTAAATTAACCTTCCCCTTTGATCCATGATGTAGTAACGACTATGATGTTCCACATAAGGCATAGAACCAATCCTGCATAGAATCACCATCAATCACTGAATTATCTCCAGTGCATGGCTTTACACTTAAGCCATTTTCAACTAAAGAGTTAACAAAATAAAACCATTGTACAAAAAATTACCCAATGCAATCTAGCAAAGAACTAACAATATAAAAGCATGGTACAAATAATTAGCCAATGCAATTTAGCATGGTACAAATGAAGGCATGATACCTAGATATACCATGCATAGAATCCTAAAAAGGAAAATATAGGAAAAACTTACATGCCTAAAAAATGTCAAAAATACAATATATTGCAATCTTTGTAGATGAATTGGAATTTCACTGGCAATATCATGATGAATGATTGGAAAAAAATGGTGGCCAATTTTTCTCTTCCACAATAATTCTAGCTGCAAAGCAGAGAAGTGAAACTGTAGTTCATGACAAAAATGTAGTTTTGACCATAAAAAGAAATAAAATAAGGTCAAAATTTTTGCAAAAAAAGTATAGAGTAATATAGACCAAATACTGAAGCTGAGAATAAAATGAAATGTGATCACTGAGACTAGTTAAATAAAGGAAAATGAAAGGTACCTCTTGCCACTGCCTCTTCTTTCCACTTCACTTCCTGCAATGAGTAAGCTGACCAATGAAATTGTAGGGATGCTATGATCTTTCATGCTATTTATTTGAGAAATAAATGTGCAAGAATGGGAACTTGCAGATTAAAAGCATCCGAATGACTTAGTACACTAAAATAGATCGAGAAACACATGATATTCCACCAACAGCCTGATAAAGTATCCTAACAGTATTTTATGATACTAGGATACTGGGATTATTGAGATAAATTTTTGCTTTCATTACATCAAATTCTAAATAGGTCGATGATACATCTTTGGAAGAGAAATGAGAGAGAAAAAGTAAATCTATGAATGAATTCAATGTTGTAAAATCTATTATACAACATGCGTGTTCCGCCTTTTCTGTTCTGCTTCCTTAGCCTGGATTTTCTTGTTTAAATCCTACATTTAAACAGTAAACCAGGAAAGTGAGATTCAGGGCTTAACCGAATAATGTAAATGAAATTTATAGACATTTCTTTACCAACCTGATTATGTGATCCTCCTGAAGCTGTATCAATAGGAATATCAATGTTTCCCCACGGTCATAACTGAAATCGGCAGGTTCCAGAGGTAGCGGTGAAAGTCTTGAGTTTGAGGCAGGTGGAACACTTGTAGTGCTCTGAAAATTATTGATAATACGCATTCAAGAAGCAGGTAATATAAGCAACTATTCCAGTATACAGTTATTGATAAGTGATATTAAAAAGCAATATTAGAGATGACCAAATCAAAACAAATCTAGCAAGGAACTATTTTTTCAAGACTAAGTCATCCTAAACCTTGGTTAAAATGAAACCTCACTCCTAAACCTCTCTCAGGCCCAGAGTTATAACTACCAATTTTGCATTCACTAATAGATATGACATTTCAGCATACGAGGGATTTAAAAGGGTTGTTAGCACAATATGACTTCAACAGAAACCACAATCTTTTCCCATCATTCTAGCAGGTTCCTCGCTATAAAGTGATGCATGTTCTCTAGCACTTTCCCGTTTTGAACAACAACCTCATCACAAGTTTCACCTTAGGTTTGGAATTTAAGGTATTAAATGAACTCCATTTCAATAAGCTCCCTGTAACAATGAGAACAATATGCTAATGTTAAAATTAACATAGGGAAAATTTTAGATAAGATAACAAAATTAATTTACTTACCCTTTGGTGTTTGCAGCCGTGGACCAGAAGTCAGAGAGCGTATAGCTTCCTGCATATCATTACCAGAATGGTTGCCAAGAGAAATTTGCGGTGATGGCCTCACTTTCCCCTTGTCTAAGTTCTTAAATGAACTCTCTCAAGACAAAGAAGCTACTCTATTGGGGCTCAATGATCTTGGTGATTCATCAACAGCCTGCCTCTTTGGAGCTGAAGCACCCTCTAGATTTTCAATATGTCTCTTACCTAAGATATGTGTACTTGAGATAAGTTTATTTTCCGTTTTCCCCTTAACATCCAAACCTTGAAAATTCAATCGCAAAAGGATGTCAACACATGATCTTGTCAGGGTGTCATTTTTATTCTCTGTTTAAAAACTAACCTTTCCTTTGGCTTTCAGTTTCCTCAGCCAGCTTGCATTATTCACAGAGTCAATCACCTTTAGGAACTTTCCGAAGTATTTCTCGCATACAGTAACTGATCAATAGCATTAATAACATAAAACTCATAACTGAGTATAGATACAGACAAAATTAAATAGAAATGCCAATAAAACCTGCTAACAACCATATGACTAAAGGGATTTGTACACATACGTGTGTTCTGCACCATCGGTGCACTTGCTACATATAGCAAGCAAATCTTCTCGTCTTGCATCCCCACAAATATCGCATACCTTAACCTGTTCCAGAAAATTTAGGAAACAAAGAAAAGATAAATCAGAAGAACTTATTGACATAAGAAACTGAAATACAAAGAAAATTAAAACAAATGTACCAATCCTACAAGGTAAAAAAGAAAAGGAACTATCCTATTTTAAGTATATAATTATGATGGAACCCAGTTAATAATCTTAAACCATTTGACAAGTTTAAGGACCTCCTATTCATTTTTAAAGCACTAATTACCCATTAAAAATTCATTTAACGACACCTAAAAGAGTAAGGGATCTGCCTAGCGCCACAACTTCAAGAATTTCATAAGCATTACTTACATTCTCCTAGGATGGCAGCTGCACTACAAGTGCAAATGGAAAAACAATTAAAATGATATTCTCAATATATTCACTCTCAAATCAACTACATTAAGATAAAAAAGCCAACTTCCACAGTGTGAGGCCTAAGAAACTCTCATATCAGTCATGCGTGCACACTTTCTTTATACATCATCTCATAAAGAGAAAAAAACATAAAATTACTCACATCATGTTCTGAGACATCAGATTCATAATCCACATCCAGAGAAGCTGTTTGCAAAGGAGACTCCTACTTTTTAGGTAACTTCACAGATTCATCTAACTCATCTTCCATCAAACTTTTACCAGTTTTATCCAGTGGGTTCTCGCTACTGCCCTCAATATCTTCTTTTAACTTGGGATGGATTTTGGGAGAAATCTCGATCTGCCTCTAACGACACTCTTGCTGCTTCCAGAATGTGAAGATGGAATTTGGATCATAGTTGAACTACCGCCAGAACCTCCGTCCTTCATAGAAGGAACTGACAAGTAGCTTTTGGGAAGAGAGCACCTTTCCGGATCCTAAACTACAAACTGACACTGAACTATGAGATGAATTATTACAGTCTAAATCCTTGTTACAATAACTAAAATCTATATTTCCATCATTGGCTGTACCAGCACATGAAATACTATCAACACGACATTCAATAACTTTAGAAGACACAGTTGATTTACTTTCTATATTTTCAGACGAAATAGAAATCAGCAAAACCCCAAATGTTAGAATAGAGAATGAGAAATACATGTGAAAACTCTTGAATTTTGACTCCCTAGTATGTGTTGTGGTGAATGGCCAAACCAGTGGGAGACGCCGTGAACTTTGTTATCGAGGGAAAGAAGCGGGAAATGATGAAAATAATGGGTATTAAAATATGACTTTTAAAGATGATACATAATTAAAATTGTACTTTGTGTTTTTGTAATTTTTTTTAATTATGACTATTAAATATGACACACATTATTGTAAATCATAAATCGTTCAGTTTTTAAAAAACTTGACATTTTTTTAATGACACACATTTTTTTGTAAGTCATAAATTAGTGTGTGTCATTGTTCGTGTGTCATTAAATTTATATTTTCTTGTAGTGAAGAAAATAAGGAAGAGTGTATAGTAATCTTTGGGAAGTGCTCACGTGAAAAACACCTAAAATAAGAGATTTTCATCCTTTAATTTAAGAAATAGGTTAATTTCACTTTTGTTCCCTCCTCCTTTTGCTCCTAAGAAAAACATCACAAACCTTACGCTTGGTCCCAACGTAAGCCCAATTCCAACTTAATTTAATCCAAACTACTTTAAAAGGTATATTGGGCTCAACTTATTGGTCTCAGGTTGACCCGAACTACTGATATGTGATTCGGGGTGTTACATCATATGCCTACCCCGAATCAAGATTAGTATTTTCTTGGTTTCCACATCGTCTTCCATGTCTATCTAGCTCTAGGTGAAGACTTGTTTTTGTTTCTTGTCAACTTCACCGACATTCTAAATCCAAATACCTATAGGCCATTTAACCTCTCTATCATTCTCAACACTTTCTTTTCAATCCCTATTCTTACGAAGCCGAAGGTTGTTCCTCTGTTACTCTTTTTGTTTACGATGTATACATTACATACCTTTCCTTGCCTACCAAATATTTTCCATAAGCCTTTCCAACACAACTCCGGAGATAAGTTATCTATGAACAGCGATACTAATCTTTCCATTCACCTCAATGCTTTTACACCGTGACTACTTTGTTTCCGTTGTTATCTTTGTATTGCTTTATGGATCCATCAAATTTGCTTTTTCATTTAATTGATGTTTGGTGTTATGTGTTTATCTTTTGGCGAGACTTTTACTTGAATCATTGCAATTTTATCCACATCTTGGGTATATTGAACTTTGATATTCCTACCCCACTATTTATTTACCCTTGTCATGATTAAAAAAAATCCTATCCACACATGATTTCTACCCCATACTTTCATAAGTTATAACCGCATGATTTCTAGTTCGCATACTTTTTACTAGTAAAATAAACTGAATAAGGATATATGTCGATTTCTTCTTCGTGTACACTTATTCAGGAATTTTCTATGGGTTTGGATTGTTTTGTTCAGGGTAGATTTTTATGGTGTATTATATGCATGTTTGGGTTATTAGGTTAAAGGTACTCGAATGATCCTTGTTGGTACCCCCTTGGGCTTATCAAACCCTCGATCTCAAATCCATCACAAACTTGTATGGATCAAATTAAATTCGAGGGGATGTGCCTCCCTATGCTTGATAGAGAAAAACATTTCCTACAAAGGCATAAGGTATGGACCCCAAAGGTTGGTTGCTAGGCCTGACATGAGGAAATATTTCCTACGAAGGCGTCACTTTCACCCCACTTAAAAGACAGTGTCGTAACGGTCATACAAGTGATCTCAGGTTCGCGTCTCAACTTGGAATCGTGATGGAGTCACCACCAATCATTTCGAATGAGGTAGATCAGACACCTACTTACCATTTACTAGGTCTATGTCTTACAAGAGATGCGTCGGATTCGAGAGTTGTTTATGTGTGGGGAAGGATGAGCACCCCCTTATATGTGTCGGTTTATTTTCTTTCAACGAGAGGGTGACACGTGTCATGCTCAAAGTAAATTTATAAATTAAAAATAAATTAAAATAAATTAAATCCTCTAATCGAATAATGACACTTGTCATTATTTTAATTTATTAAAATGGGACCAAATTGAAAGAATATATAAGTAACATATACCAATTATGTAATTATACAAAATGTTTTTAACTGTCACCTCACCTATTCAGTCAACTATTAACAACAAGTGGCTTGATTGAAGTATTTAAATAGTTGGATGGTCTATTTGATCAAATTTAAACATTGGTGGTCAAAATATTTTTTTACCATAGTTGAGTGGTCATCCATGTAGTTTACCCTACAAAATAATAGTTCCTTTTTATAGGCTCGCAAAAACCCTAAAAGAGAAAACTCTAGCATCTTTTAATTAATACTAGATATACTAATTAAAAGAAAAAAATTATAAAATAATAAAAGATCCTAATTACCCTAAATAAATAATGGAAAGTATAAAGTTGAATTTATTCAAAAATAATCAATAAAATAATTGAAAATTTAGAACAAATTAAAATTCCCATATTAGGTCCGTATCAAATTTTCTCCACGGTTGTCTTCGTTAAAATAAGCATATTTTGAGTTCTTGACGCCCAATTGAGGCATTTCAAAATGCGTTGGAATTGAAAGCTCGTCATATCTCAAGAAGGCATCATGCCCTGAAACGTTTGAATCTTGTTCGAAAAATTGTTTAAAGTTAAATGATATTTCATTCTTCAAAATCAGCTTTAAAAAAATGTTTGAGCTTTGGAAAAAAACTAGGGATGAAAATAGGTCTACAGCTGTCATTCTTTATCCATTTTCGAGCAACTAGAAAAAGACAAAGATAAAAAAAGACACAAATTTTCATCCAGTTCTTTGAGTAAATAGATTCCGAAGGAAAACTCGTTTTTCTAGTGTTAAGACATTTGGCTCTTCTTCTGGAATCGAATTTGAAATATGTAAATAACTTCTAAGTCAGATATCCTCTATTACAAAGTTGAAATAACTTCGAGAATCAATTCTGAATGTGTTATTGTACGATCATTGTGTTATGTTAGACTTGAAGCCCTTAGTTTGAATTTGGACCGGAAGATAGTTCATCATTTCTATTGTACGATCAATGTGTTCTACTCTCGAGTTGAGTGAAATCAAACTTGAAATCTTTGTTCGACAGATAACTCTTCTCAACTTGAGCTATGTCAAAATCTGGGTTGGGAAGTAGTTTATTTTTGCTAAATAACAACCGATTTGGGTCTTCTTCTAGACTTGAAGACCTTGGTTTGAATTTTGACTGGAGGGTAGTTCCTTATTTCTACCGTTTTGTCAATACGCTCTAGAGTTGAGTGGAATCAAACTTGAAATCTTTGATCAACAGACAGTTCTTCTCGCCTTGAGCCATCTCAAAATCTGGGCTGAGAAGTAGTTCATTGTTGCTAAATCGCAGCCAATTTGGGAATTCTTCTTGACTTAAAGTCCTCAGTTCGAATTTTAACTGAAATGTAATTCCTCTTTGCTACCTTACGGTTAATGTGATCTTGAACATATAACTATTTTCCACTTAAGCTATACTGTAAATGATTCTTCTAATTGAAGGATTATTTGGATGATCTCCCTTCGCGATTCTAAGCCAAGCGGGACGAATACCCTTCATTGTTTAAGTTGGTATTGATTCCTTGGATGACTCCTCTTCGTGTGGATGACAAGTGAGGCGACTCCCCTTCACGATTTCAGTTGGTTTGGATTCTTTTTATGACTCTCCTTCGCGGGAAAACCAGGTAAGACGACTCCCCTTCATAGTAAAGCCAAGTGAGATGACCACCCTTCACTGTTTAAGTCAGTTTTGATTGATTATCTGGATGACTCCCCTTCGCGGGAAAGCCAAGTAAGATGACTCCCCTATACGTTTTTAGCCAGTCTTGATTGTCTGGAATACTCCACTTCATGGGAAAGTCAGGCGCTATATTTTTTTTGGCAGGATATCCTCTGTCATGGAGTTGAAATCTGGCTTGAACGCTTCAACTGGAAATTAGGTTCTCGTCGTTGAGCTAATATAGATCGTACTTAACTTGGGGTCTTCTTCTAGACTTGAAGACCTATGTTGGAAAATAGAATTATGGAAATAGGGAATCAAAATGAATTTTGAAGGAAATTATGGAGAGATTATTGAAAATCTCCTACCCATGTGAAGATATGTGGATCTTATATAGAATCTGATTGTTCATCGGGTCATTTAATTGAATACAAGACTAAAAAAGATCTATTATTGGATCAAAATAAAATAATAAAAATAAAATGATAGAAAAAAATCATTCAAGATACACCATTGATATTCATCAAGAAACCTCAAGGAATGCTAAATCAATGAAGATTATTTAAAAGCCTTTGTTTATTGTTTCTCGGTTTTCTATTGTTCAACGAGTTTTTTATATAGAAAAACTAAGGTTGTGATTGATCGAAACAAAATAAAAAATAAAGATAAGAACAAAGAAAATGATCATCGGGTTTCATTGAGAAACCTCAAGGAAGATTAAATCTATGGAGATTAATTCAAAAGATTTTTTCCTTGTTCCTCGGTTTTCTCTCATCCAATAATGTTTTTAAGAAAAGAAAAAGAAAACAAAGACAAGAAGTTGAACAAAGAAACAAGAAAAGAGGGAAATTTACCTTGATCAAATTTTTTTTTGTGTTGAATCTTTTTTGGTTACCATCCTCAACTAA